TCGCGACAGAAAAACGCCACGTGCGGCCAACGGCGCTATTGGCTGCACGGTTTAAGAAAAATAAAAGAAAACATTATTCTTCTAACGCTGTGTGAATTCTCACGTGCGAAACGCCATTATGGACGCTACGCAACGCATTCGCATTTCCTCACGATTTGCTTCGGGAAGAGAGAGAAACGTTTTATTTCAATCATAGTAAAATGTCGGGTGGGGCTCTCAGTCCAGAGCTCCAACAGCCGCTGCTGCGTCCCGTGCCCGCCAAACCAGCGCCCGTTGGCCACTCTGGCCTTCGGGGAGGTGGAGGAGGAGGAAAGAACTTTATTAAGAGTCCGGTGAGTAGATGGGGTGGGCGATTGGGCCCGCCTAGGTTACGGCCAGGAGTGGAGACATTTTTTTTCTGCTCCACAAAAAGCGGCGTATTCAACCCACGACCTACTGTATTCTACTGACCTGCCCAGCGAGCGAAGCGCCAGCACGCCCTATCTGGTACTGGCATCTGCCGCTATGCGCTTTGTGGCGCTACAACTTACCCCATCCGCACCGGTTGCTGACGGCCAAAACATAGGCCGCCGCGCTTTTTTTTAAGTATGAATACACTTTATAAGCGACCCCAAACCATCCACCGCCGTCGGCGGCGTCCGCAGTCTTCTCTCTATCTTTAAAAGAAAGAGGACTTGGCGGGCCGCAGCGCGACGCTCTACCGAATAAGCCACGGACGCGACGCTGATATCGGTGTCAGTAACGTGCCTTATACCCCCTCCCCCTTCGCTCGCTCCTCCGCTCTCCTCGCTTGCTGCAGCTGCGCGCGCACCCCTCTCTCTCGCGCGCCCGCCTTCTCTCTCAGTCTCCCGTCGAGAGCGGGTCGTGAGGGGGAGTAAAGTTAAAATCCGTCGGCATTCGCCAGTGAGTTAACGTAAACTCCCCCGTGTGATCAAATTGTGATTCCCCAGGAACCATTACACCATAAAGGCACCATAGTGTGATTAATAAATATAATAGTGCGAATTAATAAATACCCCTCATAGCATCACCCCGTGTATTCGCACTTAACCCTGTTCACCCTCGGGGAAATGCTTAAGAGTTTTTGTCGTCTGCTCGCGCGACACTGGGAGAAAGGAGCATTGTTTACGCGTGCATACACTCTGGACGATTGGGGAAAAATGAATGAAAGCCTCTTTTTGAATAAACTTAAAGGTATAATGAAGATCTTTTGCTACCGTCTCCTCGTGCCGAGCTGCGATAGAAGCGTGCAGGTAGGTGCAGTTTGTACACCAGCGAAGCGAGGTTTCTTGGTGCAAATGAACCATCACGATGGTGTGTGCTGCGTGCCTTTCTGCGAATCAAGGCAAGGGAAGACTTCTGATGTGACTTTTCATGAGTTTCCAGTGATCGAGGTTGGTGAAAAATGGATCAAGGTGATTTCTAGAAAGGGTAAGTCTGCTCAGTTGGGCGTTGTCTGGCATGCTGAAAATATAATATGGGTTGTAAATGACTGCGTGTCTTTAAAAAGAGTGAGTTGCTGGGCTGGTTGGTGGTGCATGACAGACTGAGACGCATATTAGCGCAAAAAAGAAAAACCAACAACCTCAAGAAAGTAAATGACGACGTGCTTGTGGTCATCCGTTTTATTTAGTTCTAATGTATCTCATCCAGTTACGTGTGTCACATGGTTAACGAGGTGAAGTCATACGCTCACTTCATAACTGTGTTTTATTCACTTCGCCACCATGGTATAAACTTCTAATTGCATGATATACTCCTTAGAGAAGAACAAGAAATTTTGTATTTTATTCACAATATTTCACTGAATGGGCCCGCGCGAGGGCCGTCAGGTTTAACCTGATGGTCCCCGAGTGGGCCTAGCCAGGTGATGCTGAGTTTACTCGCGTCTATTGTGGACCGAATAAAGTTGTTTCACTCACTCACTGAATGTTCATCTTCTTCCTTTCAAGGTGCTGGCAATGAAGTTTGGCTCCCAAATGACAGGTCGAATGTGTGCAGTGTGCACTTTGCTCCAACCGACTATAAGCCGGGACTCAAGATAAAAAGACTGAAAGCGAATGCTGTGCCGTCAGTGTTTCCACACTATCCAAAGTAGATGGTGCCGCCCGTGGCAAAGGTCCGCCGCAGCTTGAAACGTTCAAATGTTCAGGAACATGGACCCTGCCCAAAGAAAAAAAAGTGACTAACAATGTTTAATGCTTGACGTCTCCCCATGGCTCTTGCATACGAATTGGACCAATGAAAACGAATTTCAAGAAAAGGCGTATCACAGAACACAATTTTTTAATGCAGGAAGAAAACAGGTTCAGCCCCGGCGCGCCGCAGAACTTGACATCGAGCGACATATGTCATCAGTACCATCCGCAAACACAACTTCGGGACCATCCTCAGACTTTATGCACCCTTTCACCGAATTTGAACGCACATAACCACCTGAAACAGCACCTGGCGACAAAGTAAAAATCGACCGACGCTCATTGACCACGCAAACAACTATAACCAGCCAGAAGATGCGCCGTGTGATGACTTCCGCAAAATCATCGCACCAGAAATGGCAAACCATGGTAAGGAATAATGCTGAATTAAAAGCGCAAATAGCCAAGCTGAACCGTGAAGTCGCAGAGGTTAATCTGCTCTCCAAAAGAGCAAACGCTGCAGTCTTGCAGGTAAAGTTGTTTGCTGTTGTTGTTTGCTGTTTCGTTTCAAAACAGTTGCAGAGTGTTTTTTATTGATTATTCATGTACCTGCGATCTACATTTGCTATTTGAGACGAAGATATTTATGCGCAAAATTGTCTGTATTGGGTTGTTTTCTATGCGCGCTGGATGCCGCGGCCACTGTCAAATGTCATAGTCCTTGCCCTTTCTTGTCCAGACAGTAAATTCAACCCAGTGTGCGACAACAAGTCTACCATTGTATACACGTATAGCCGGTATCATGAGTTAAATAAACATTTGGAGGGCCAGCAATATTTACTACCTGTCTCTGTCATCGTTCTTTCTTGTTTTGCACGCTGATACATGTGAAAAATGGTAGGTGTAACCTTAAGAGACAAGAAGAGAGCAGAGTGGATTAGGGGACAAACGGGGGTTAAGGATATCATAGTTGAAATAAAGAAGAGGAAATGGACATGGGCCGGGCATGTAGTGCGTAGACAGGATAACCACTGGTCATTAAGGGTAACTAACTGGATTCCCAGAGAAGGGAAGCGGGTTAGGGGGAGACAGAAGGTTAGGTGGGCAGATGAGATTAAGAAGTTTGCGGGTATAAATTGGCAGCAGCAAGTACAGGACCGGGTTAACTGGCGGAACATGGGAGAGGCCTTTGTCCTGCAGTGGACGTAGTCAGGCTGATGATGATGATGATGATGATGATGATGATGACATGTGTTTGTATCCGATTTGCTGTTCTATTTGAAAAATAATGCACTGAAATGTCAACTAAAATGCAAAAGAAGATTCTCAAAGTCACATGAAATAAAACGATTCAAGATAGCCGTCACATTTACTCAATGCGTGATGAAACTCTTCTCGAACCGGCGGTAACCCATGCATTTCCACGCATCCACCAGCGCTCAGCTGGGGTAACTAGAGCGCCCCCTAGGCGGTCAAGTTCGGCATTCGAGCCGGCGCAGGCAGCTGCATAGACCGCCGCCAGCTGGGCAGGTCAGGAGTACAGTAGGTCGTGATTCAACCGTGGTCGTCAGCCTCCCGTGCCCTAGAACGGTGCCTACTGTGGGCGCGCCAACGGACGCTGGTCGCGTCGTCGCGCCCACACCGTGGTCGCGCCTCACATCGAACTATATCTACATCGCTTGCGTTTTGTTAACGCATGTGTCGCCGTGTCCAGCGTGCACACTGATGAAAGAAGGGAGGAGCGCGCATCGCATTACATTCTGACCCTTTCATTTGCTTCAGAGGGAGAGCGTGTACTCCACTGGTAGATTCCGTTCAGTTGCCCTCCACCAGAGTGGTCGGAGTGCTTCGGCGCAGGGTTCGTCCGTCGCTGCGAATCCGCCAATGGATGACGCCATTAAATTTGATTTGATATGTTAGGTTTACCATCCCAAAACCACCATATGATTATGAGAGACGCCGTAGTGGAGGGCTCCGGAAATTTCGACCACCTGGGGTTCTTTAACGTGCACCCAAATCCGAGCACACAGGCGTACAACATTTCCGCCTCCATCGGAAATGCAGCCGCCGCAGCCGGGATACGAACCCGCGACCTGCGGGTCAGTAGCCGAGTACCTTAGCCACTAGACCACCACGGCGGGGTGACACCCATAAATCGATTTGATTGATTGATATAAGGGGTTTAACATCCTAAAACCACCATATGATAATGAATTGAGAGCTCCGGCAATTTTGAACACGTGAGGTTTTTTAACGTGCACCCAAATCTGAGCACACGGGCCTACAGCATTTTCGCCTCCATCGAAAATGCACCCGAGATTCGATCACGCGACCTGCGGGTCAGCGACCGAGAACCTTAGCCACTATACCACCGCGGCGGGGCACCGTTAAATTGGTCTGTCTGTCTGCCTGCCTGCAGTCTTCACAAGCACTGCATTCGCATTTGAAACGAAATATATCAACTACTCCTGCCCAAGCCTTTGCCTGGTAGCCCTTTCCGATTGCCTGGTAGATAGAGAAAATAGGCCGAATGACCAGAATCCAGAGGCAGTGCCGGGAGTCTATGTAGACTCCGGCTTTCTCTCCCCTCTACCACGTCATGCATTTTAAAAATATTTTTTGTGGGCACAGAGGGCTCGAGAACCCAACGCACACCGCCGCGAAATGCCGATGAGACGCTCGCTGTCTCGCACAGTTATACCAACACAACCACATGAAAAATGGTGCAAAAAATTTAAAGCTGGAACTGAAAGTAAAGTGGGAAAAGTCACTCCAGAACATACAATGAAAGACACGTGTACTCTCAAGGTACAACCTTACGGGAGAGATGGAATCGGACAAAAAAGCATTTCACTTCTGTCTTCAGCGCGGCACAGGAGCGGTAGGCACTACGACGGCGACGGGCGGCCCGTTGATCGAGTTGATCGTCCTGCGCCACAGTTCCGTCACCAATTGGCTGAAGACGAGCGAGTCCACGTTCTGCCCCACCAAACTGAGCAGGAAGACGTCGCCGGCCGACATGGACGACACGAGGGCCGGGATACGCCGGCTGTCCGGATAGCGCCAGCTGAGCAGACGACGCCTGAGTGGCACGTTCACTATCAGCAACGCGCGGTAGGACACGGCCAAGACGCCAGCGGACAACACGGTCGCGTACCAGAACCACAGGAATGCGAACACCTTCTCGTTTATGATGTTGAGCGGGAGGACGCAGATGGCCTCGAGGTTCTCGATCGTCCCGGACTGACCGTACTTGAGGAAAGTGCACATGGCGATGCGCGGGAAGGCCATCACGGCCGGACTCACGAACTCCCGGTGGTCCTCACTGCGATGCCAGCGTACCAGGTCCCAGCCGTAGGTCAGAAACCCTCCTCCGAGAACGTAGTCGGTGAAGGTCACTTGGGCTATGACGTTGGCGACGCTAAGAAGCTCGCACAGGAGGTACTTGACCAGGAAGTAGCGATTGTGGTTCATGTTGAGCACGAGAAAGTCCACCATCTGGGACCGAAGCTCAGCGCTGTTCTGCGTCATAGCCGAACGGATGTCAAGTGCGGCGACGATGGCGGAAACCTTGCCGCCTTCCCAGGCCTTCCACAGCCACCGAGGCGCGTAAAAGCACAGCGCCTGGGCGAACATGAGGAAGCAGATCCAATGGTAGTACGTTTGGTACCTCCGGTCTCCGAGTCCGCTCCTGGGAGGCTTGTGACCGGCGCCGGGGTAGATGACGCTCGCGTTGAAAGTCGCGTTGAAGAGCGCGCGAAAGCTATAAGTGGACTCCACCCAGCAAAATGAGTCAACCACGCTCTTGGGAACCATCGGGCAGTGACAGTCTATGGGCGTCCCCACGTACTCCTTCGTGGTGAGGATCGTGCCGAAGGCCATCAGGAAGGCGACCGTGACGACGGTGTGAAGACGGAAGACATTGCCATCCGTGTGTACCTTCCTAACCCTGAAGAGCTTCTTCAAGTTTTCCGAGGATGTGGAGCATGTTTCGGAACAGTCAGAAGTTCTCGATCGGCGCAGAAAGGGTGTCGAAGGCAAGAACTGCTGCGTATATCGGCTCGTGTTCGCGAGCGAATGAAGTACCGCCACGTGACTGAGCACATGCATCAACGCGTCGCCAGAGAGAGCACCCTCGCGCGCGGTGCAACGCTACCGTTCATTTGCCAGCACGAACGCCGAGCGCGCATCGAGAAATGGACACGCTAGAGCACTGGCAGCGTTGGGTTTCACAACGCTGTGATCATAGCGTGGATACCATTTACGAACGAAGCTCTCCACACAAGATTAAAGTAAGATAAACATCATAATTGCACATGCATAGCAGCCTGCACTCAACCGAGGTAAATACATTAGAAAAGAGAATTGGGAATGACCCCCCCCCCCCTTTCTCGGCGCTTTAGCAGTTTGCATATGTGCATGTAGTACATATACACACGCAACACAAACACACAAAGAAAGGTCGGAGACCTCCCGAAATAAAGTCTACGCGTCGGAACGGGGAGTGCGCGTGTGTATTTTTTGCCCTGGTGCAAAGGTGGGAACGGCGATAAATTGATAAGATGTTTGAGATTCTCGCTTGAAATATCGAAAGCCGGGAGATATATAACACGTGCTTTGAAGCTCTCAAAGACCTGCGTATTCAATTTTCAGTCACAGTGACAAGGCAATGGTGGCATTTGATGAAATTTCAGTCTAATGAGCGCACGCTCTTGCACTCCCACACCCAACACGTTGCCACGCCACTATGTCACTGCGGCGCAAGGTTATTCTAGTACACCGTAGCAATGTGGACACAGTGGAGGAACATGTGTTCAGAAAAGTGGGTAACAAATTAGAGCACTAGGTACTCTACTACGGGAGAGTGTAAAGCCGTCCCGTGTGCCTCACGTTTCAGGAGGACGTGTCGACAAAAATTACGCCACGACCATGCGTGGACATACGTCTAGAGAAATGTATTCTCACGATCAGTGAACATCAATTACAATGCAACAGAACATCGCGACAGAACAGAACATGCACATACACACCAAATATTGTTACAAAAAGATATTATTACATATGTACATTACATGGAAAACGAAGAACACACAAATTAAGTGTAAATATTTATATGTTAAGTATTTTCGTGGTATTTACAAGGTATTTGTGCCAGTACTAAACAAACATCAACCTGCCAGAACCAGGCAGGCCTGAAAACAAGCTTCACACGTCACAGACGAACACAAAAGGGCAGTGAGAACCGCGTGAGTACGCAGGGAACTACAACGCTAGGCACCCTAACAACAATGTGAGTAATTCATTCTTGGGCACCAAAAGTATTTGTTCCGCTGATCACCCGACAGATACAACCACTGATAGATGCATTCACCGGAGAAAGAGGGCAAAACACCAGTGCCGAAAGAATTCCTCCTCACCGAGAAAGAAGAGTTCCTCCGAGAAAACAGATAGCAGCTGTGTGTGCAGTCGCTCCCAGATCGGAATCAGAGAGCGTTTAGAAAAAGTGGTCAAGGATTTAGAGTAGTTGGTACTGTACTATGGGAGAGCATAATGTCGTCCCGTTCCCGCAATGAAGGATCTGCTAAGAGAAATTTATTCTCACGAACAGTGAACATCAAGTACACTCCAACATGACGATGTGGGTTCCTTAAATATGACGTCTGGTGAACAGGGCCAAGCTATCAGCTCAGGCCCACGAATTGTTATAGAAACCGACCATGCCTTGGTCGACTCCGTCATCGCCTCATTTTAAATAAAGTTTATTGCTCTTCTTACTGTGATATCAGAAACGTGGATACTCGAGGCTCATTTTTGTCATTGCCGTCATGTTCCGTTTAAAGTACAAATAGGTAACATCGCCCGCGCTTCATATGTTCTATGTGTGAGCGAAAGCTTGCGAAGGCAGCAGACGGCTGCGGTTCAAGCGGATGTGAAACACGCCGGTAGGCTTGCGCAAAGGTAGGCTAGCGCAAAGGTAGGTTAGCGGCAGCCGCGTTGCTCGGGCAGCCAATGCTATCTGATCAAAATGACGCGGTTGCGTGCACCATATCAACTGAGATGAGTGGAAGGATTATGGATAGATGGATGGACAAAACTTGTTTAAAACCTGCAGATTAGCGACCGGGCCTAGGCCAACCGGGTGGTCGCGGCAAAGTTTAGACTTTCCTCCGCTTACCGGGACGGTTGGATGCCATACCCCTGTACATGCAGTGCTGTACGCTTCGTCTTGAAGCGACACAGCGCAAGAGAAGTGATTCTTAAGAGAGAAAGGAAGAGAAAAGTGAGCCCCGTTAACTGTCTGCTTCAGTGAGCGACACCTCAAGAGTAGCTCACAAGGGATGGGGGTGAGGAGGGATAAAAAAGGGGTAGGAGTAAAGGTGTAGAAAAGAAGAAGAAGAAGAAGAGAGGAAGAGACGTGAGGTGGTAAGCCAGAGCGAGCGACAATAAACTGAGGGGATAGAAGAGACAGGAAAGATGGAAGCACGGTCACTGGAGTCCGAGGACGGGGCACACTTGCGAGAGCTCTGTCGGCGTCGGTAGATGGCGTAGAGCAAGTCCAGTCGGTCAGAGCTACACTGTCGTCGAAGGTCATCGGCGTCAGGAGGTGACGTAGGGCGAGCCCAGTCGGCCAGAGCTACGCTGACGCCGGAGATCGCAAGCACGCGCGTGCGCGCACGACCGGTCGGCACGGAATCCAGCAAGCGACTCATGGCAGAGCGCAAAAACCGCTTCGCTCACTGGAGCGGCCGCATTCACGCGATGATGGATGGATGGAAAAACTTTATTTCGTCAGAAAGCAACTGAGGATGATTCCGTGTTAGATGGCCATCAACCCATGGTTGGCGGCGACCTGTGTGGCCCACTCCACGACCCTTAACTGGACGACTGGGTCCGAGCTGGTCAACACGGCCTCCCAGTGCTCAAGAGAGGGATCACGCATAATATCCACCGGCGGCGGCACTATGCTACATTCCCAAAGTATGTGATCATATGTTGCCACAGCCTGACACCATTTGCATTGCGGCTTAATCTCCTCCGGGTACATTTTGTTCAACACGTAAGGGTTGGGAAAAGATCGCGTCTGCAGTTTTCTCCAGACGCATTCCTGCGCCTTAGTCAACCGCTTGTGCGGGGGCGGATAAAACCTCCGCTCTAGTTTATAATGATTCGTTATGTCATGAAAGGACACCAGCCCATCTCTCGCGGACCTCCCCGGAACTGGCGGCTCACCTACCCGGCTGACGAAACCTCGAGCATTCAGGTGAGCCGCCTCGTTCCCAGGGTTCCCAGAGTGTGCTGGTACCCAGACAATTCTATTTCTCTCATTTCTCGTTCCGTGGCCCTATGCAGAAATCGTGCAGCGGTCGCCGATATTCTGCCCTCGCCAGATTTCGGATGGCTGTCTTTGAATCACTGAAAATCAAATCTGACTGCGAATTAGTTATAGCTAGCGCTATTGCCGCTTCCTCTGCAGTTTCCGAGGAGCGGGTTTTGACCGATCCAGAAGCGATCAAGCGCCCCCGCCTGTCCACCACCACAATCACAAAAGCGTCTTTGTCCTTATATTCCGCAACATCTGTATAGACTGCCGCTTTGTACTCGCCGTACTCAACGTGTAAAGCTCTGGCTCTTGCCTGCCTGCGCTGCGTATGGTGAATCGGATGCATATTTTTGGGCAAAGGTTTTATGTACAGGGCCTTATGTAACTCCCGCCGCACCTGAATTTTAGTGTCCCCGGTGGGAGCCTCTGCTCCAATACCAATCCTTTCCAATATAATCCTGCCCGCTTTGGTTGTCGAAAGCCTAGCGTGCTGCATCACCAGATGCGCCTCCCATAATTCATCCAGGGTGTTGTGTACCCCTAGTTTTAATAGCCTTTCTGTAGGCGCGTGTTAGGCAACCCAAGCGCTGCCTTGTAAGCTTGCCGGATCATAGCCTCGACCTTACCTTTTTCTGCGGCATCCAACTTCATATAAGGTGTCGCGTAAGTAATCATGCTGAGCACAAACGCCTGTACCAGCTTACAGAGTTCTTTTTCTTTAACCCGCTCTTACGGTTAGCGATTCTTCTGATTAGCCTGACAGTAGCATTGACCGTGGTCTTAAGTTTTTCAAGGGCCACCCTATTCTTCCTGTTAGTTTGCAGATATAGGCCAAGAATTCTAATCGTTTGAGCTTCAGCTACCGGCCTACCCCCTACCTTTACCTCTAACGGCGGTGGCGGAATATAGTGTCTTGCATGTAGCCCTCTGGGTTTGTCCCGAACCACAAAGAGCTCGGACTTTGGCTGAGAGCATGAAAGTCCCGCCTCCCCTGCCAACTCTTCGACAATATTAACTGCCTGTTGCAGTGTTTCTTCCAGATGCGCGTCACTACCCCTGGTTACCCATAGAGTAATATCATCTGCATAAAATGTGTGTTTGAGTCCCGGTATCTCCCCCAGCCTCGGCGGTATTTTAATTAAGGCGATGTTAAACAGGAACGGTGACAAAACTGAACCCTGCGGCGTCCCTTTGCCTCCCAACGCGAATGAGTCCGATTTGATATCTCCTATTGAAATTTCTGCGGTTCGGCCCTCCAAGAATGATCTGATGTAGCGAAATGTCCTGACCCCTGGGCCAATTTGATAGGTTATTCAATATTGCCTCATGCGAAACATTGTCGAAAGCTTTATTCAGGTCAAGCCCCAATACAGCTTTGGTGCCCGTGCCATGCCCGGGATTGACTACATCATGTTTTAACTGTATCATGACATCCTGTGTGGACAAATTGGCTCTGAAACCTATCATAGTTGGGGGAAAGATGGCCTTGTCCTCTGCATAATTCTGAAGCCTGTTGAGAACCACGTGCTCCATCAATTTGCCCACGCATGATGTCAGTGATATGGGGCGCAGGTTTTCCAAGCAGAGTTTCTTGCCTGGCTTCGGAATAAATATAATCCTAGCATGCTTCCATTGTGCTGGGATCTCCCCGGCCACCCAATACTCATTTATCAAGTCAGTGATCGCCCCGACCGATTTGAAGTCTAGGTTTCTCAGCATTTTATTAGTAACTCCATCCGGACCTGCGGCAGACGTAGTACGCAGCTGCCCCATGGCAAACTCCACCTCC